ACCATTCCATGATTCAAAGTGTAGTTTGAGCCACTCTTGCCCTCTCATGTTTTGAAGGAAGAGCTGGTCGGGGGAGCCTGCAGAGCTCGGCTGGGGTGTGTGTGCTGAGCACAGCAAGTGCTGCAGCCGGCAGAGCCCAGGCCCTCAGCAGCTTGTCAGGAATCCAAAAGGCTGGATGGGCTGTGAAACAGCTCCTCTGAGGTCCCAGGAAACAGCCAAAGGTTAGGGCAGAACCACAGGCAATTGGGCAGAGCATTATTGGCCTCGCATAGCTCGAATACCTAAAAACCGAGTCACCTCCCACTCTCCCCTCTGATGATGTGAAGAGATGTCTGTGTTTGAAACAGATGGTTTTCTCCTTTTCTTCGGATGTCCGGGGCTGTGTCCTGCGCTGGAGCTGGAGCTGGAGCCGACCACCCCTCGCTTATTTGCATCCAGGAAAGGGAAGGTAACTGATACAGGAGACGGGCAGCGATTGTATCCATGACAACCAGCAGAAATGGCCTCGCTGCCTCGCAGCTCCTTCCCCATCGCCTTCCCAGGGCACACCCCGGCTCCGACGGGTCCCTCTCCTCAAGGCACCTCTTGGCTGCAGTTCAGTGTTCCTCAGAGATATGCACAAAATCCACAAATTAAGCACATTTCCCGGAGCCAACGCAGCAGAATTCCCCGGCTTGAGCTGCGTGTGCTTCACCGAGGGGCTCCCTGGGAGGGGTTTCGGGAGATCCGGATGCAGGGATGGTGTGGTTTACACAAACACGACGTAGGAGCAGGGTGGGCTTGGCAGACTGAGAGCCTGCAGAACCAGCAGGCAAAACGCAATTTATTCTGCTGGGAAAAAAAGGGTTTAGATACGTTAAATCCCTTCAGAAATGCAGGTGAGCCGAGCAAGGGAATGTGATTCTCACCTGTGCAGGAATGTCAGCAGAGGTTAAAGGTGTTTGCTCTGTGAATAAGCCTCAATCTGCACAATCCCTGTCCAGGGGAATGGGAGCTGCCTGGGCTGTGCTTCCCTAAGAGCTCTGCCTCCTGCTGCCTGCTGTGGTGCAGTTCCTGCATTCCAACCACTGCCTGGACCTGCCTTGGAAAACGCTGGCATTTGAGGCAGCTGCAATCGCACCCAGCGCTGGGGAACAGAAAGAAATCTGTCAGAAAAGCAAAGAGCTGTTAAACACAGCCAGTTTTTCTCATTTCCAGGGGCCCCTGCTCTGTATCTTCAACGTGGTTTGTACCACGCTGAGGAAGAATGTTCCTGGGATCAAAACAAGGTGATCCATCATCTCTTCCTCCACAGTGGCAAAACAAAGCAGAAGAGGCAAAGAAATGAGATGGTGAATAGAGAGCTGGGGTTTAGAAGACAGGACCTGCCCTGGCATCTCAAGTGTGACTCAGTTTCCCTGTGAGGACAGTGGGACAACAACGAGCTCTGGAGCCGATTAGTCAATATTAGAAGTACAAAGAGGGTTGCTGTGAGCTCTAATTAATTGACTGTCTTAGCAGATTACACGAGCCCGTAAATTGTAGCAGACATTTGGGGCTCAGCCTTGCGAGTTCTCGTGCCTGTGAGCTTTCTGCATTTCCTTGTGTGTGTGAAAGCACATCCCTGGATTCGGAAAAAGAGAGGATCCGGTGAGCCACGGGAGCTCTGTGTGGTGATGGGGAGAATCACTCGGCCAGCTTTTGGAATAACGAGGGAAAACTGGATCTGGTGAGGGTATGGACCAGTCTCCATCCCCTCTGGAACAGCTTCTTTTGGGGATGTTCTGGTTTTGGCTGGGATAGAGTTAATTTTCTTCTTAACTGGCTTAACGAATGTTGTCAGCCCCTCTGCAAAGGAAAATGTTACCCAGCCAGCCAGCTGCAGAGGCAAAAATATCCACAATTGTATCTGAGGAGGATTTGATGGGTTTAAAACCAAACTAAAACCCGCAGCATTTTGAATTTTCAGTGAATGCAGCACTGACAAAGGATCCAGCTGATCCAGAGGCTCTGTTTACCACGGCAGCAGCTCTCCCCAGCCTGCAACTGTCTCAGAAAAATGCCAGTCTATATGTTTTAATCACTGTATTTAGCCATGACACTCACCCAAACAGCAGATTTTGCTTTTCCTACCCTGATCCGGGATCAGGGATGCTTTTTACAGCTGTTCTTTGACTGGAAATACACCCTGGGGAACACCACTACCTCAATTTCTCTCACCCTGACATCCTGCCCTGGACTTAGCAGCAATCTCCTGTGGCACATTTCACCTTCTGTTAATCCAACTAGGATTCAGCATTATCTGGTGCAGGAATTGAGGGAAGGTCAGTCTGATAATACCTTCTATCAGCAGAGAGGTGGCTTCTCTTGGAGTCCTGGAGCTGGGGACTGAGAGAGGCCATAGAGTGTCCACCCAGCACTGCTGCTGAATTGCTGTGCTGCCACCAAGGCCTTTTTTGGGGTGTTATTATAATTTTGAGATACTGTAGAGCTACCTCAGCAAAATCTTCTCCTGGCCTTTAACAGAAGTAGCTGCAGAGACGCAGAGAGCAATAACTCACAAGTCATTTGTAAGACAGCAATGTCTTTAATTTGCTGTTTTACTAAAAGAAGTGGGGCAGGATAATTTGGCAGTTTTATTTAGGTGCAAAGGTATCACGGGTTTAGAGCCATTGTCTGTTTCCAGCCTGGAGAAGTCATTGCTCTGTAAAGCTTCATGATTTCTGTCTTTTGTCGAGTCCAGGGGCAGCCTGCCTGTCTCTGCCATGAAATATGATGGACTTGCTGCATCCCAAGAGACCTGCCAGGGGTAGAAACAGCAGCATTTCTGTTTCCCTCCCCTTCATAGGCCTTGCTCTGGATTTTGCCCCTGAACCTTTCACTGTGACCTTGCGAAGGAAAACCTGCTTTTCTACTATAACTCTTACAACATTTCAAAAGTAATTTATTTTTAACTTAAAAAAAAAAAAAAGTTTATAATTACAGCTGTGATTTTGGAATGAGAAATTTCCCAGGAGTTAATGACCAGCCTGAGATTCCCCCTTCAGCTGCTGCAGGTTCCTGCTCAGCACCTGATCCTGCCTGAATCCCACGAATGGAAGTTGGGAGGCATTTGGTGGGTCACCTGATGGGAAATGGCCTTTGTGCCTGGCACTACTGCTTAAATATTCCCTCTGGGCTTGTCACCTGGGTGGGAAGCTCCAAGTGCACCAGGATGTGATGGATTCACGGGGTCTGGCACTAAAGCACGGCAGGTCACCGAGTAGAGTATCATTCTCCTTCCAAAAAGGAAACAGAGAGCACTGTCCTGCACTCAGCTCCCTCTGCATCCCTACCCAGAGCAGAAGGAAAGGGAGATGAGTTTGGCAAACCAACGAAGAAGGTAAATGGGATTCTGGTATTGACATCACCATGTTATTGATGCCATTTAAAGCAGGTTGCAGCAGCTGGAGGCTGGATGTAACCAGCCGGCACATCGTGTTCCAGGCAGCGAGGGGAAATTACGGATGGCTTTGGAGCTGAGTGAATAACTCTCCACAAGATCTGCTTCAGCTCGCTCCAGCAGCAAGTGCCATGAGTTTAATTGGCTCTAACAGGACCTCACTTAGTACCAGCCGGGTGGATTTGTGCTGTTTAATGCCTTCGTCTGGGGCTGCAGCACGCACGGCACAGATGGAGGCTCCGAGCCCAGGACTCGGAGACAGCGATTCCCAGGCTTGGCTCAGGCACCGTCACCGTGGGAATTTCCTACACTCGGTTCCCCCACACGCAGAAAAGATGGCAGCTCTTTCCTAAATCACAAGCAGGTCCTGGTGATGACTCACGGAGCAGCTTCACGTGCTTTGGAGAGTCACCGGAATTTTTCAAAGCACCAGGCTCTGGCTTAATTCGGCTTTTTCAGAGTTCACTGCCCTTTGGGAACAGGTAAAGGGCCAAGGGCTGTAACCTGGGACACCTGCCCTCAGAATGCACAATCCCAGCTCCACTCAGGCTCATTAAATGTTTCCAGCCACACCTTGATGAAGTCAACCCTTAGCGATGCATCTTTGAACAAGATTTACTTTCATATTATTTTTTTTTTTAACAAACAGTTTTATAATGAAACATGAAAACATGGTGCATTGGGGTTTGGTAAAATGTGAGTAGAGCAAAACTTTCTCCTGTTTGAGAAACCTGACAGGTGAGAATTGCCAGGAATTCCTAACACCTGCACTTAAGGCACCTTTCCTCCAAGGCTCTCCAGAGGTGGATGTGTTCTTCACCCCTGTTTTGTAGGGAAGGTGGGGGGCACTGCAGGAGGTGATGAGCAGTGACTCCTGGCACATCTTGAATTTGGAATCTGGATTTCCCAGAGCAGTGCTAGGCACTGATAAGACACCTCAAATCCTGGGGCAGTTCTGGGCCCCTCATGACAAGGAAGACATTGAGGGGCAGGAGCGTGTCCACAGAAGGGAAGGGACTGGGGAAGGGTCTGGAGCACCAGGAGCACCTGAGGGAGCTGGAAGGGCTCAGCCTGGAGAAAAGGAGGCTCAGGGGGAACCTTCTCGCTCTCTGCAACTCCCTGACAGGAGGGGAGAGCCGGGCTCTGCTCCCAGGGAACAAGGGACTGGACAAGGGGAAACGACCTCAAGCTGTGCCAGCGGAGGGTCGGGTTGTATATTAGGGGAAATTTCTTCACCAAAATAGTGGTCAGGCATTGGAAGGGGCCGCCCAGGGCAGCGTTGGAGTCCCCATCCCCGGCGGGATTTAAAAACCCGGTGTAGATGCGGCACTCGGGGACATGGGTTGGGGTGTCCTTGGCAGCGCTGGGGGAACAGCTGGACCGGAGAGGGGAGGGTGTGCTTTTCCAGCCTGAACGATTCCACGCTCCCACCCCATCCCTTCCCGCAGCCGGCGCACGCCGGGCCGCGAGTGCCGGATGCTCCGGGCGGAGGATCCCCGCAGCCCCTCCCCGGTGCCTCCCGCCCGCCCCCCGCCCCGCCCCGGCCCGGCGCGGAGCCGGTGGGTGCCCAGCCCGGCGCTCGGAGCCAGCCCGGCGGCGCGGGCACCCGCCGGCAGCGATGCCGCTCGCCCAGCTCGCCGAGCCCTGGTCCGACATGGAGCTGGTCCATCTGGACCCGGAGGTGAGCGGGCACCGCCGGGGCGGCGGGCGGGGGGCGCCGCCGAACAAAGGAGCGCCCGGGTGGGACCCCGGCGGGACCCCGGGCGGGGCGGGGGATGCGGTGCCGCCCGCCCCGAGCCGCTCCCCGGGGCTGGAGGAGCGCGGCCGCCGGAGCCGAGCGCTGCCGGGGCTGCTCCGGGGCTGCTCCGGGGCTCGGTGTGTGCGCCCGGGGCTGGGGTCGGGGCGCCGGGGGGCTGCCGGGCTCGCTGCTGCCCTTGCAGGCTGTGATGGTTCGGGGAGCGCGGGCAGCGCTCCCAAACCTCCCGGGCACGTTTCCTCCGTTTTTTATTTTCCGGAGGAAAACGGACCCCGCTGAAGGCCCAGGGGATAAATATCTCAGTTTGGGGGTTTGTTTTTTTTTTTTTTCTTCTCCCGCGGTCTCCCTCGCCCTCCCAGCCCCGGCTGCTCGCACAGGCCTGTGCTGCCAACTCCGATCTCAGTCCTGTGTCACTTTGCTGGACGTCTGCTCTTCCCTCCCACTTGGCTCTTTTCCTCCTCATTAAGCCCCCCAAGCCAGATGTGCAGGATGGTGCTCAGCCCCTGTCCACATCCATGGCTCTCGCCACAGCCATTTCCCGATGAAGGGACAGCTTGCAGCAGTTGTCACCCTCTGCAGAGCAGCCGGCTGAGGCACTGTGCTCTGGAACTCTTTAGTTAAACATCTCATCCAGATTGGCAGTAGCAGCTCTCCTGGAGAAACCAGAGGGAAGGTGGGGATTTTGTCCCAGGTGTTTCGCAGTCCGTGGTGCTTTCCCATTGTTCTATCAGGATTTGATGCCGTCGCAGTCCTTTATCATGCCTGGGGATGTTGTGATGGCTAATCAGTCAGATTTGCTCGTTCCTATTCAAAATTGCCTCTTAAGAGATCTCTGCTTGGAGTGCAGGCAGCGTTTCGCCCCTGCTGCAGGGACAGCAGGGAGGTGTGTTGGCCATCGGAGGCGAGGTTTCCTAATTTTCATCAGCCAGGTGTGGCACAGCCTCCCCTGGAGCCCCCCCGTGCAGGTGGGGGCTGTGTGGAGGGTCTGCCTGGGCCAAACCCCCGGCACGAGGGTGCGGTGGGTGAAGAGCATCTGCTCGGAAGCATCGCTGGAGTCACGGGGATGAGTTTGTGCTGGAAGGTGGGAGAGCAGGGAAGTCCTGCGGCGATTCCCGAAAACCACACCGTGTGCCCGGAGCCAGGGCTGGGAGACAGGGCTTTTTATTTGTGGTTTCTCCCTTCCTAAGTAGGGAGAATGCCTGAGAAGCCAGAAAACGCCACTAGACTCACAATGGGAGGAAACTATAACGCCAGCGCCCGGGGCTGTGGATGCCGTGGGCGAGATTTCATTGACTCCCTAATCCCGGGTCCCCCAAGTGCCGAGCGGGCGCTGTGTCAGCACCACGGGATCGCTTCCGAGAGGAAACGGCCGGGGGGGGGGTGTCCCGTATGTTTGTCATCCCGAGTCAGCTGCGGGGCTCCCGGGAGCAGCGGGGACCTTTTTCCTCATTGCACCAGTAAGGGGTGTGTTAATTGTAAACTGAAACCGGAGGGAGCCTCTGGCTCTCTCCCCTTCCCCCACCTCACCTTGGCCGGGGGTCAGGGTCAGGCACCGCGTGCAGGTGACATTTCTGCAGATCCGGCTTTCTGTGTCTCATGTTCTGGAGTGGGACATCAGCAATTCACCTCCCTTTGGTTTAAGCTGGTGAGCAAACACGCTTGATTCCAGCCAGGAAAATAACACAGGCGTCCTTCACCTCTACACCTGGGCCAGATGTTAAAGAGTTCCCCGAGATCCAGCACTGCCCGTGAGCAGTGGAGAGGGACTAAGGCTTGGGAGGAGTTTTGCACCTTGAGGCTAAAATTGCCAAGGGTAGGGGCCCAAGGGGGAAGTTTTCACCCCTCCTGGGAGAGGTGGCACCACTGAGAGAGCGAGGAGACTTTTCTGGAACACCGGTTACGTAAATTGCCCTGGGAGCGGTGCCATCCAGGTTAGAAACCGGCTTCCTCCGACCTTTGCTTTCTGAGTCACGGAGCAGAGGTGCTGTCACTGCGCTGGTGGAGGCATCAGTCCTATTGTTGAGGGATTTGTGGTTTTTCCAGTGTGTTCTGGGAGGATTGGCCGTTTGGTGCCCCTTGTCCCAGCCCACTGGAGCTCGGCCATGCCAGGGAAATGTGTGGGAGTGGGTGGCAGTGGGAGCTTGAACTGATCCCCTGTAGGAGCCAAGTCCCTCTGTCCTGGGGACTGAGCTTTGTAAGACTTTTTCCTTCTTTTTTGTTTTTATTTTTCCCCATTCTGTTTATATTATTCCGAATGTTGCTTATGTAGTAGAAAAACTTGACTGGGTCACAGTACGAGCGCCGGAGGATGGAGTTGAATGACACAGAAATTCCCCCCTGGGAGGGTGGGGAGGCCCTGGCACAGGTTGCCCAGAGAAGCTGTGGCTGCCCCATCCCTTGAGAGTGTCCAAGGCCAGGTTGGACAGGGCTTGGGGCAACCTGGGCTAGTGGAAGGTATCCCTGCCCATGTCCTTTCCAACCCAAACCATTCTGAGATTCCGTGCTCCCATGATTTCATCCCCATAGTGATGGATCTGTCATCAGGGCTCCACTTTGCTTTAAATTCTTGTTTCATTACACAAACGTACAGCAACGCAACTGACGTGGGATTACGCCAAACTCAACCACTTCAAGCTAATTATTTTTGCCTGTATCATTCTTTACTGAGCAGGGAGCTATTCATGAGTAACTCCTTCTCAAGCATCGTAGCTGCACAATGCAAAAACTGTGATCAAAAGACAAGGGAGGCAGCCGAGTGACTGTCTCTGATGTGCTTTGTGCAGAGACTCCTCGGTCTGTTTGGGCTACGGGAGTTCTTTTGGAGATCTCTATTATTGCACAATTATTTCCTTTCTCTGAACTGCAATAGGCAAGATCCACACATTCCACTTAATAACAATAATCATCATCATAATTTAAAAATGCCTCGTTCTTGCGTCAAACGGGCAGGAGCTCTGGGGTGAAGGGTTTCTTCCCCCATTCCTTCCTGCCTGAGTGCTTGACTGTTCATCAGGGCTGGGTGAAAGAGCATCTCTGGGTGCCTGGCACCCAGGTTGTGTTTTGGGCATCTCAAAAATGACTAGTCAAAAGGTCCAGAAACAGCAGCAGGCTGCTTTTCCAGGCAGAGCTGCCGATAACCCAGGGGGGTGACCTGTGCCGGTGGTGTAACCACAGAGCACAGCAGGAGTGGGCACCATCCCCACGGTCCTGCCAGGGTGCCACTCGTCCTGGTTTCACATCAGAGCACACTGGCCTGGTCTGCAAATTGCTCCCTGTACTGCGGATTATGTGGAATTAAAAGGATTTAAAACACAAGATGTCCTAAGATAAATATCTCCCAAGTTCAGCCAGGCAGTTGCGTAACTGAGTACACTTGTTTTCCAGGGTGCTTTTCAATTAAGGAAACTTCAGAGTGCCGTGTGTGCTCGGGAGGGTTTTTGTGTCACCTCTCGGGCAGCTGGAGTGGTCACTCACCCAGAGGTGCCCTCGCTGCCCGGCTGCTCCACGTGCCCATCAGATTAGCTCTGTAATCCCTGTTTCCGCTCACCCGGGAGCAGGGCGGGCTGGAAAGCTGCAAGGACAGGCTGCTGGCCCCCGGTGAGGCTCGTGTCGTGCCTCCCTGGTAACCCAAGCCCTGCCCTGCCCAATCTGTATCAGCTCCTCACTGCCCCGAGGGAAGGAGCTCTGCCTCCCTCCTGCAGCACTGGTTGCTGCCCGTGGGAGATCTTCAGGATTTTCTTGGAGTTGGACATCCAGGAGGCTCCTTTCCAGCCCTGAGAGCAATGTGCTCTGAGAGGGCATCTGCAGGGAGGGAAGCAAACACATGTTCCCTCGCTCGCCCTCCGTGCAGGGGGATGGCAGAAATAAAACATTTTAAAGAGGCAAATGTCAAACCAAGAAAGCCACAAACTATTTCAGCTGTGCTTACAATGCGGTGAATGGCTGTATTTTATCTTGGTGCTGAGTCTGAACTGTGTGTTTCCATCTGGGACAGTTACAAATGGCCCTCGAATTCCATATGAGGGAATAAGGACTGGTTTTGCTCTGGGGTAGAAGGAAAGTGCTTGGCTCTAAATACTGCAATTCCCTCACACATCTGCCTCATGTCAGCCTGAGAATGCAACTGTTTCATCAGGAGCTTCATCCCTCTGAGACCAGGGAACTATATGCCCAGGAAACCTCCCTGGCATGGGCACTGTTCTCTTTCTTTTTCCCCATCCCTTCCATCCCCAGGTAGGATGGATTTCTGTCAACAGCAATGTGTAGGACAAGTCTTCCTTGGAGCAGGGAGCTGACAAAACACAGCAGTTGAACTGTGGTGCATGAACTTACCCCTCTCCTGACACCTGCCTTGTAGATCTGTTCTCCAGACCATGAGCCAGGCACTGCTTCCTTCTGTCCAACACAGAAATTCTGCTTCTTGAGCTGTTTTAGACAAAACCAGCCCTCCCCGAGCTCTGGTTTGGATTAGCAGCCAGTTAGGAATTGTTGCTCAGTGATAGCTGAGCCAGTAAACATCACTGTGTTTCCAAGTCTGGTTATCTCCAGTGCTGTGTCCCCCCCTTCGTTGTGGGGGCTGTTCATAAACACAAATCTTACTTCACTGCTCAGCTATTCTTTGTGCTAATGGCACCAAGAGCTCCCTGTAAACACCAGGGCAACATTTCTCGGGGAGAACTTGGCTTGTGAGGTGGTGCTGTTGCTTTTTTTCAGTCATTGTCTGAAGATACTTCGGAACTTAAAAGTTAAGTTGGGGCTGAGGTGAGTTGTGGAGCTCAGAGTGGGTCCATATCGATGCAAATATTGCAGGGCCAGAGTCGGGCTGGTGATGTCCTCGGCTGGTGTGTGGTACTCTGTGTTGTAGGACTGAGCTGTTCTTTGGGGCAGCACAGGTTGGACTGAGTGGTGGGACCTAAATATGAAGATATATGGAAACTCTGGGTCACTGTCTGTGGATCTGAAGTGTCTGAAAAATAAACTTGTGCTTAGATTCAGCTTTTTAGCCCTGCAGCTGTTACTGTGAGCCAGCCACGAGCAGGGAGCTGAGCAGTGCAAACCCAGCAGTGGTGGTTTAAAACCCTCCTGTGGGAAGCTGGAGAGTGCCCGGTGAATGTTGTAGAAAGCAAGTGCAGCGTTAGAGGGAAGTTTTCACTGTGGCCCCAAAGCTCTGTCAAGATCAGCAATTGTAAGTTTTGCTTGATATTAAAAGGTAATGAGTTAAATTTGGCCCAAGGGGTGGAAGGGGATAGTGGAGTCCTGAGACAGAAGCCAGGCTGATCATATCACTGAGTTGTTGCCTCTCCAGGGAAGGACTTGGCTTTGTTTCTGTCCATTCCTGAAAGGCTCTAAAACCCAGTCATTCCAATAAGAATCTGAGGCCAAAATACATTGGCATTGCAACTCTTCTCTTAGGCCATAACCTGCAAAAAGGAGTGAATAAATTGGCCTTGTTCTTTTAGAGAAAAAGAGGAATTCCGCGATTTTTTTGGAGCCTGCGACTGCAGTGCAAACAGACGTCAAAGTCTTCTTGCCCTTGTTTTTTCTCCACAGTCTGCAGAAAACCTTCTGTACGTGCTTATCCTGCTCCGAGTATCTGTGTCTTAACGAAATCCCACCCACTTCTGCTCTCGCCGGTTTCTCCAGCGCCGAACCTGATCCCTCTCGGGTTCAGCGCTCGGTGTGACGGGTTGGTGCCGCTCCAGGTCACCCTCTGTGACTTTGTGCAGGGCTGGACCCGGAGCCAGGCAGGTGGGGCACAGTTCCCGCAGGTATCAGCTGTGATAGGGTAATAAATAACTGATAAGTGCTCCCTTTAAAGCCGGTGTCACGGCACAATGGCTGTTAACTGCACTCTGGCGCTGCTCTCCCGGCTTCACCCAGTCTCCCTGCTTGCTGCTTCCAGAGGAACAGTGGAGGGAAAGCCACAGTGTGGGTGCAGGAGGGGTGGGATGGAGCAGTGTCTGCAGCACCGGGATCATCCTGCACCCACCACCTCGGGGTGCAGGAGCTGGAGCAGTGCAGGGGTGATGTTCACCCCACAAGCAACATTTGGTGTATAAGGAACCCCAATTTCATTTGAGGGAACGGTGGAGAGACTCTCCGGGCAAAAGCCATTTTTAAACAAGTTAAAAGACAGGAGTCCCCTTGATACATGGGGGGAGTGTTCAACCACCTTGTACCACCTCCAAAGTGCCATCCTGCCCTGTTTGTCCCACGTGAAGGGCTCCCAAAGCCACCGGCCTTGGTAAGGGGTGCGAGGAGCGACCCCGTGGCCAGCACATGCTAACAGCAGGCTCTCTTCCTTTGCAGAACGGGCAGGCAACCCCAGAAGAAGGTGGAAATCTTCCAGCCAAGGTAAAACTGCTCCAGGGTTACATCTCCAGGCCGTCCCCCCGAGGTGGGTGGGGGGTGTGAGCTGACTATTTATAAACCCTGTAAGCTGCTGCACGGTAATCGGGATGAGCGCACGTGGCGGCGTGAGGGACTGGAGATGACCAAAAAGAAAGATAAAACCCCCGTCTTCCTGTCCCTTTGGTCATCCAAACGTGCCTGGGAGGTTTCCCAAAGGGCTGCCTTGGTCCAGCACACGGGAGCAGGACTGGAGGCCGCAGCTGAGGGCGAGAAGTGAGAATCCCTGGGGTGTTTCGGTGCCGTGTTTACGCCTCTCTCTGTGTTGTGATCTTGCCAGATGGGATGAGAAGTGCAATAGTATTTGATGGTTTTGGCACAGCTGCCCTTGTTGAGTGCCTGGTATCTGTTTATTCTCTTGCCTTGGTGGGGCTGGGAGAAGCTCCACTTCTGCCAAGTTGTCCTTTGCATCCCCATTGGCATCATCTGGGAATGGCAGAGGGAGCTCAGTTGCTGTCTTCCATGTTTAGAGCAAGGATCTTAACCTGCTACTCCTTCTTCAGGCGCCTAAAGCTTGTCCTGCCCCACACATGAACAGTGTGGTGCTGAAGGACTTGATTTCTCTGATGTGAGCCCTCCCCAAGTACAGGACTGAGTGCTGATTCTGTCACAACATCCTAACTGAGCCTGTCCCTCTCTGCCCTGCAAGACACTCCAGAGCAGAAGAGCCATTTCAGTACCGTGAAATCATAATCCTTTCAGGATTTCCTTTCCTGATCCATAACACGCTCCAACTGTGGAGAATGACACAACATGTTTGATTTGCCCCGGGGAACCTTGCCAAGCAGGTTGTCAAGAGCTTGTTGTGTGCTGTACCCTCAGCGAGGGCCCTGTGGCAGCTTCTCCCTCTGAATCATCGTCCCTGCTAAAGGCTCTGGGGGCTTGTGGTGTTGTTTTTCCAGTTGGTTACGCCGTATTTTTAGTAAAAGAAATCTCAACCTAAAAACCAGTTGTCTACGTTTCAGCCAGGTTTGGGTTTGGGGGTTTTTTCCCCCCTCTGGAATTTTTGTGGATTTCTAGCAGTGCTGTTGCATCCCACCTGCATGTTCTGCCTTTCTGTCCCACTCGCTGGCCTGGCACTTTTCCAACAACCTGCAAAGAAATCTGGTGTGGGTCAGGTGAACTCAAGTCACTGAAACTGTGCATTTCCCTCCCCTGAGAGCAGTGGGTTTATGGTTCCTCACTGTGCCTGCATCTCTGGCATGGGGAAAAAAGTAATCTGTGTCTTCTGGTTGGATTCCAGCCGGGTTTCTAAGACTCGAGACTTTGCCTCTTTCATCTTCAAACACTTGGCTAAACTGCCCTCCCCTAAAAGCTGCTGCAGGATGTTGCTTTAAAAATCATTTAAGATTTTTTTTTTTCTTTGAAGAACATCACTGAGACAAACCCTGGCTGATTGCATCTGTAGATGCTGCCCCACAGAAAGATCATGAGATAGAGGCCAAAAAGCACTTGAGGTTCCCTTTGCTGCTCTGTGTCTGTGGGACACGGACGTGAAGCCCAAGCTGGAGCAGAGCAGTGGGCAAGTTGTCCAACATCCCACAGCAGGGAAGCCACAAGAGCCCTGTGCTGGTGCAGGTGTCCTGCTTTCCACTTTTCTGAGGCACCGTGGCCAAAGTGCCTGTGAGCAGTGTCTGACAATCCCATTTTGGGTAACTTCTGAACGCACAAAGCCCTGCTACGTGGTCCTGAAATAACCTCGGCGGCGTTTTCCAAGTTTGTACAAGGTATGTTTGCCACCAGCACGAGCGAAATCCCTCCTATAAACACATACCTTCAACTTGAGGGCAAACTCTGCCCTGAGATGCTGCAGATGGGGGCACAGGCAGCACCCAGAATATCTGTGTTTTTCTGTTCACTTGGAGTGTAGACGTCAGCAGCAGCTTCTGGCACTGGCTCTACCCACAGCAAGGACTGAGGCAGGGGAAGCAAGCGGCCGTCACCATCTGAGGTGACTGTTCTCAAGTTGAAGGTTGCTCAGGCTCCCTCCCACACCCTTCTGTGCTGTGTGTGGAGAGCTGCAGGGGGAAGAGGCACCTTTTTTCCAGGTCTGTACTCGCTATCCTTTTGCGGCTCGTTCTGGGATCTCTTCTAAAAATAACCCGGAGCAGGGACAGCGGCGATTACTCAACGCCCACACAGCAGCACCGTCCCTCCCCTGCCCCTGCCAGCAGGATGCTGCCAGGAGTGCAGTCCTTATTTGCCTGGGCAGTAACCAAAGGCACTCTGCAAAGGAGGGAATCCAAGAGTTCCTCAAAAGAGTCGGGAACTTCACAGCTGGTAGCGCGAGGCTGGCGGAGCCGGATGCCTCCGTCAGCATCTCACCTGCTGCTGTTGCACTTTGGGGTCTTTGGGCACGAAACACGGTGAAGTGGTCACTGCAGAGGTAGTGAGGGGATGTTTTTGGTTGCATTCAGGGACCTTCTTGCTGCTTTTGTGCTTCCAACTCAGCTTCCTACCCAGGACAGCTGGTGCGTTTCACAACCCGTGGTGGATTCCACCTTTCAAGAACAGTTGTGGTGCACAAGTCCCTGCAAGCCCCGTTCCTTGGTGTGTTCACCTGCGTGTCTTGGGAATGCCTGCAAGATCCCTGTGCTGCTCTGGGCTGGGTAGAGTTAATTTTCTTCATGATGGCTGTGTTTTGGATTTGTGCTGAGAACAGGACGGTCACATCCCTAAAACCAGGATGCTGATCCCACACTGCAGGAACAGGAGCCTTTGGCAAATTTAGGTTCAAGGATGGATTTTTTTCTCATCCTCTCTGGTGGTGGTGGTGGTTGAAAGCCCAGGGCTGGTTGGCAGCTCTGTGCATTGGTTCTGGGTGCTGAGCCTTGTTCTCTCCTGTGTTCTTCAGATTTTAATTGCCAGGTTGGCTGAAACTGGTCCTTTTTTAGCTGGGAAACAGCAACTGAATTCAGTGGGAGAATGGAACCTCTCATATCTGGGGTTTGCCAGCCTGCTCTGCACCCAGGCTGAGGGGTGAGCCTGTGCTCCCTGAAGGTGCCAAGTGTGAGGAATTATGCATGGAAGTACAACACCCAATTAGTGAAATCACTTCATAATGAAAAGCAGAGGAGTGGATTTGCAGTGCTGAGTGAGCCCACACTCTCCCTGGAGGGAACATGGTGCGGGCTGGGGTTGCTGATCAGCTTGTTCCTGGGTGATAATCACAGAGCACAGTGAAAACTGGGGAAGGGAATAACTAAACTCTTCCAACTCTGAGCCATAAAAGAGACCTTTGAGACTGGAGTGAGGGATGTGCTCCTGCCCATGAACCAGGCATGTGGTGCCCCACCTGCTCAGGCTGGGCCTGGCTGTGGGAATGCAGCAGAGGGGAAGACAAGGCTTTTTCCCAGATCTGTGTAGCTCCTGCTGGTTTATCCTCATGTCCTGACCAGGTAAAGTCTGCAGAAAGGTCCTTCCCTGCTGCATCTTGGAAGGGCATGAAGGAATCCTGGGCGTGGACACCTCTGACCAGCGAAATACCTGTATCACCAACATTACCATCAGTGTGTGTTGTCCTGGATGAAACACCCCCTTAAAACATCCAGTGGATGTAAGAGGAAGGGTTTGTGCTGCTCCGTCATAGCACCATCATGATGTGTTTTCCACGGAACATGAAGGAGATGTTCCATAGAAAACACATCACGATGGTGCCGTGACGGAGCAGCACAAATCTCCTTCACCCAGACTTGGTGCTGCACATCTTGCTGCAGGCAGGACATCCACTGACCTTGTCCTGCTTTCTGTGGAGCGGGTGGCCAGAGGAGAAACTGGGAGCACCTTCTCTTCACAGTGTGGGAGGAGGAAAGAGTCATCCAAGACCTGCTGGCAGCGAAGGGCAAGTCAGAATTACAGAATCACTGAATGGTTTGGATCGAAAGGAACCTCAAAACCCATCTTGTTCCACCCCCTGCCATGAGCAGGGACCACCTTCCACTAGCCCAGGTTGCTCCAAGCCCCGTCCAACCTGGGCTGTGTGTCCAACAAGGGTCCAGGTGAGGGAGAGCCCTTGTGCCAGCCTTGCACGTGAGCTCCAGGCTGAGAGTGGGACAGGAATCGTGTCCAGTGGTGTGATCCCTGTCAGAACTGGACACAACTAATCACAGCTTCTTAACATGAAGGGTTTCAAAACAAACAAGTGGCTGCCCTGCAGTGGGCCGTGTGTTTGCACAGCTGCTGCTGCTTTCTCCAAGAACTGGGAAGCTGTGGAGCTGTGGGAAGGGGCAGGTTCCTCAGCAAATCCCCTCTCAGCCCACTGCCCCTCTCCTGCTCCTTCCAGCCAAGAGTGCTCTGGCCAAATCTGGCCCCCCCCAGCTGGGCAGGACCTGGGATAACCTGGTGGGAGCAGAACATCTCGCGGTGCTGCCTGGAAATCTGCCTTCCCCCTGCCTCGCAGGGGCTGCAGCCACGGCTGCTCTCTCAGCGTTTGGCTTTTCCAGCCTGTCAGTGGTAAAGCTCCAAGTTTAAACTGGCTGCTCCGTCCTGTCAGCTGAAGGAACCGAGTGGGTTTGTTTCTCCAGCAGTGCCTGACAGCTCCCGGCCCGTTCCTGGCAGAGCGTTTGCTCTCCGTCCTTGGCAAGGCCAGGCTTTGGGGAACAGCAGCTTCTGAGCTCTTAAAAAACACAAATAAATGCCTGTTTGAGGAGCAGAGTCTCTGATGAGCTGCAGACTCTAATGAATAATTGAAGAGGGGTCAGTTTACAGGACTTGCACAGGAGGAATGCGGCAGAGGCTGGAGCAGTGCTCCAGCAGCCCTCCCACACGGTGCCCCAACCCATCCAAACCACTCCGGTTTCTTCCCTTCCATTTCCACCCCCCTCGTGGGTTCATAGAAGCTGCCTCATGTTCTGTGTCTAGAAAGCCTCTTTTATTGAAGGAGAAAAAAAAAATCATGAAAATCGGTTACTTCGTGTTGTACCTGGAGGAAATCTGTGATCCCTCTC